ACAGACAATTTTAGTGCCAGAAACAGATTAGTCTCCTCACATACTTTTAATCTCCCTATGCTTACTTAAAAGGCAAACAGTGTTCAGCTCTCTACTGATGTCCTGTGGATGACAGTGTCAGTAATGTGAATTCTAGAGCAAAGTAATTTAAGGAGGATGTGCTGGGAGAAGTAAAAGAATATTCTGTTTCAAATGAAAAAGATCTAAGATTCATATTCAAAGTGGTACTTGGGTTTTCAAGGAGATTTTAGGAATACAAACAGTGTGATGGATGTTAAATAATGCTGCTTTTGAATTAAACCGACCTGGAAAAAAATGTTAGAGCTTCACTGAATAAACAGCACTCAGATAATTAGCAGAAATTACTTCATTTTTCTGTCTTCAGGTTTTTCAGTTTAAGAATGTCAGAATATCTCTGACAATATTCAGAACAACCCAGTGTTAATAGCTAGGGCTAGGGAAAGGTAAAAACGTAGCTCACAGCGAAAGTTGTGTGCCCATTGGTGACAGAGCCTCCCATCTCTCCAATATAAGAACAAACCCTGTAGTCCAAGTCCTATGGCTACTGAGGAACTTCTTTTGGGGACTGAAAGTAAAATTCAGCAGTAAATTTTTTAAATTCCAGAACTTCTTGTCTGTAGAGGGAAACAAAAATTTGTTCTTTCTACTTCTTGTTTTCTTTTTCCTTTACAGAAAAGGACACTATGGATGTGTGGTGCAATGGTCAAAAAATGGAAACAGCGGTACGTGATCATTTCCAAAGGCTTTCCACAGGCTATGGCTAGATAACCAAAGCTCAGCAAAACAAGCCACAGAGGGGCACGTTACCTCACTTTACCGCAGAGTATGAGCATACGCCAGTACACCATTAGTCTGTTCCGAATGTCCTTCACTGTGTTTTACAACTGACAGTATTTTAGTTGGGATGCCAAACATCTGTCTATTTAAGGATAAACAATGCTTTTTTTTTTTTTTTTTTACACTTTTTAGACAAGCAAAATAAATCTTCTGGGTTGGTTGTCCAGGGTTTTTAGGGAGAAAACTTTCAGGGGAGTGGGAGGGACTTGAGTTTGATGCAGAGTGTAGAGCCACCTCATCCACACCTGCTTGTGTTAGTGGTGACTGGAAGTTGAAGACATGTAGTCTGTTATGACTGACAAGTTTTTTCCATCTAGAGATGGTCCTGAACACTTAGGGCTTAAGAGTCTCGTTGGAACAAATCAAATCTTTTGTCTTTCTGTCACATCTGCATTGATTTTTAGAGCAGGTTGACAGCTAGAAGGCTTAATCTATTTGTTGTCTTTTTATATTATGATGGCTTTCAATATGCATACTATGTAGGCTTCCCCATCCTTGAAGAATGTGCTTTCTCACCAGAGAGCTGTCGCTGTGATTACTACTGCCACAAGTAATCCCTTGGATGAGTACAAATTGTAAAATCATCAGTTTTGCTACACTTGAGAATAGGATGAAAAGATTTACCAAATGTTTCTTCAGTAATCAGTGGAAGAACCATCCTCTCTCAGTGAATTAGAACTTCTGCTCTTGATGGTTCTCAGCCTTTTCTGTAATGTAATAAATGCACTCGGAGATACTCTTGCAAGATACGAGTACAGGTTTAGTTGTCAAACTGTGCTTGCATTAGAGTGGCACATGGATTTTTCTGCTCTCCCAAAGATGATGACAGAAACATGGCCATGTGTGGCAAAATCCGTCATAGGAAGTTATATAGCTGCAGCAGGAGCTGTCTATCCAAAACACACAACTGTTACACTCAATTCAGGGATCTCTTTGTCCTGCTGTAGAAGGCACCACTAAATCCTTCACGTTTTACTGCCACTTCAGCACAGGTTTGCGTGATGCTTATTGGCTGTACTACACGACTCGGAAGGAAACTGTCTTTTCTGGTTTTGTTTTACTGATATGGATCAACGACATTAATTCACAAACTCCAACTTTACTATTTCTAATTATGTGAAATTTTGATTGACATTTAATACCCACAAATCTTTAACTGGACGGCTTGACAAAGCCCTGTCTGAGATTCTGCAGCTTTGTTCAGCATTTGCACTGTATCTGTTGCCAGTACCTATGGCTGCTCTAATTGTGGGAACTACAAGTGATTTTGACTTTGGAAACAGTCTGCACTCAAACTTTTATTTTACTAAAATAGCGCATGTCTGGTTTTATTTTTGTCTCCTTTCTCACAGGGTGAATTTGTAGAAGATGGGACTGAAACTCACTTCAGTGTTGGTGATCACAGCTGTTGCATTAAGGCTGTCAGCAGTGGAAAACGAAAGGAAGGAATTATTCATACCCTTATTGTGGATAACAGAGAAATTCCAGAGGCTGTGGAGTAGCCTCTAGTTAACTGATTATTGTAGGACTAAGATCAGGAATTTTCAATTACTGTGGTAATTATTTTCATATGTACTACTTGGTACGTCTAGGTCGTGCTGGGTTTATTTTCTAGTTTCTGTATATGAAATTATTCTTTTTGAGGACCAGATGAAAATAATTATATACAACCTCTTACATTACCAGTTTTTAAAAAACTATATGTACATATAGAAGGTATATTATATCACAAAGTGCAGCGAGCACAGGTGAACTTAAGTAGAAATTATATACTAGAAAAAAATCTCGCTATAATTAATGCAAGATAAATATTCATTAGGACTGAATCCTTATAAACTGTGGGGGTGTGTGGAGGAAGGAGGATGCATATGCTGGGCATTCAAGTAAGCTGTTAAAATTTTCTCAGTAATTATATTTTTCTATTAAACTGACTACCAACGTTTTTCAGATGCAGTTAAGAGTTACAAAGTTAATAAAAAGGTTGTTAGTGAAATACATTGTTACCAGTATTTGTGTAACAGTATTAAAATAATACTGCACTATGAAAACTTCATTCTTCCGAGTAGGAGAAAAGCTGTTACATTGTGCCAAAAAAAAAAAAAATATTATTTGAGGTTTTTTGAAAACTGATGCTTGTTAGAAATTGTTGCAGTAGTTCAGAAACTCCATATTGAGTTTTTTCAAAAAGGAAGAGAGGGAAAAAAAAAAATCCTGCCATGAAACTCCTTTAAAAAAAGGAAGCAAGCTGAAATAAGAGCTTATTCTTGTTCAGTGCTGCCTACCAAACCTTAAATCTACAGCTGTGTGTTTTTCTGGCAGTAATGTGTGAATCAAGAAACATCAGGAAAAATGGGACAGAAATAGAGGAGAAGAATTGGTTGCTTAAATGGAAAAGTTAAAATAGAAATAGACTAATTCTGTTTTCAAACTTCCAGCATACTATCTAAAAGCAACCTTGGGACTTCTGCAAGAACAAGACTCATATGTGTTAGATGGTTCTTACAAGTTCATGGGGGTTAAATGGGGTCCCCGTTTAACATTGCATTAGAGCACAGGCTCACACACTACAAAAGCTGTTCTTTTGCAAGAATGTAGACATAGCTGATCCGAAAAATAATAATTAAAAAAACCCAAATATGATTATATTAATTGAAAAGTTTGGTTTGCAATGGTTCAAAAAATCTTCCACTTGCAACCTCACTCAGAGTTCAAAATTAGACTTTTATAACCTAATTTCTTTTGGACTTTTGAGTGGTTCCTAGCACTAAGACTACTGTCTTGGGAGTTGCAGGTGCAGTACAAATGTGCTGGGAATTCATTATCAAATTATTTTGAAAAGTTTTATTAAACACTAATTTCATCTGTGTTTTAGGTTTAGGGTTCAGACTGCTGTCCATTAGCACAGTGCTTTACATGTGGATGAAACACTTTTCATATGACAGTGTCATTTTTTTTAATAGTTTTATGCAAGCCTTTCTTCTCCCCAGATAATTACAGTTTTAACCACAAATGACTTTTCAGTCTAGAAGCAGACATGATATTGGCAGATGAGCCTTTATTTCTGTATCACAGCACTGTTATAAGCTGCTGGGGTGTTTAGTTAGGGCCATAACTGGTGGCTTTGAAAGCTTCAGTTTGGACAAATCTGGTAGTAACTTTTAGTTTGGGGCAATATATTTGTTTTAAACCCTGCTAACATCAAGACATAGTTTCAGGCTTTACTACAGAAAGTTTCAAAGTACCTGAGAGCTGGACTGAATCCCCTTTTGCATTGAAATAAGTATAATAGCTCTTAGACTTTTCCATTTACTGGCTTCACAGAAGCAATGTGCGGATATCTAGCGACAAGGTTGACAATGTAATCTTTAAAAGATATTGGTAAAGGTAGATTAATTGAAGAGCAATCTCAAGCTGTGGCTTGAACCAGTTTTCTACTATTTTGTAGCCTTTCAAAGAGATTGAACACAGCTGAGAAATCTGAAGTTCAAATACCATCCAAGTCAGGCTCTTAAGACTATATGGAAAAATAACAGGTTAGCTGACAGTGTAATTCATACTTTTTATTTTGAATACATGTAACTACAATGCTCGGAATCTCTTAACTAATAAAAGCTGTAACAGCAACTACTGTTAGAAATCATGAAGTATTACCTCACATTTGTCATAATCATGTGTATTTAATAGCATGTCCGTAAGTGGGAAACAGCTTTCACCTGATACATTCAGCTATTTAAGTCAAAAGAAAATCTAAGAATCAAAAGGCACAACCCAGATTTCTTGGGTTTCACTAATATATGCAATATTTCAGATTAAGAAAATGTAATGGAAGAATGACAGCCAACGCAAACATCAACTGTATAGTCACATGCTCAGAACACTTTAAGGCATAAAGTAAATGACCAGATAAATGTTAAACTGTATTTTGTGATGCTTTCCCTTCCATTTTCATTCACAGACAATTTTGTTCTAATCTCTTCAAGGTATTGACTTCACTTTTTTTGTTCGTGGATATTTCAGAGCACTTTGTACAAGGCACTTGGATCACAGCATGTTACTCGTTAGAGCATCCTCTTAAAAATCTAAGTGCTAGACTTTGTTCTGAGGGGGTCTTCACAATAGCTACAGTTCCGATTAATTCTTACTCAGGGTGCTACTCGTTCCGTCACTTGGGAACAAGTCAACAAATATTGTGGAAGGGCCCCAACACTGTTGCAAATGACAAAGGTGTTGGGATTGGTTACATCATCTACTAAGCTGTCATATACCTGAATGGCATCCCCCGCCACTGCCGGTGGTATAATGTAAGACAGCTTGCCTTTAGTGTATAAGCCTGTTAATACATCAGCCTCAAACACGTACATTTTAGATTCTGTTTCCCATGTATCTTTACCCTCGATTAGGCTTTTTGGGTTCCTTTTAAAGTAGATGCCAGCTCCGTATTTTTGTTCTGGAAAAAGAAAGAAACATTTTCAGAAGGAAAAGAAAAAAAAAAAAGCCTTTAACAATGGGTTCTAGAGACCACTTCCTGATTCAGTATTACATTTTATGGTTATTGCTCAGTGCGTGTCATCCTTTTGGAAGTCAATTTGTGTTAAGTGGCTCTGACATTAGCACTGACCTCCCACTGAAATCATGAGCAATGACAGCTGATGGCAGTTCCAATTTAACTGCTACTCCAGTGACGGCCATTCGGATTTAACTTTTAATCCAGTGATAGAAACATCAAGGTATAACGCATTTATATAAACACTTCTGTCATCGTGACTCTGATAAGCACCAAAGAGGGTAAGTTCTTAATAATGCAAACTACAAAAAAACCTTTGGGATTTCTAAGGAGAATGCTACATAAAAATGCTATTACAGTATCACATGAAAAAGTGCAAAGAAATGAAATGAGACCATCATCCTATTTATTACTCTGAAAGTGTGAAAATGTGCCACGTACATTGCATAGACAAGGAAAGGAAAATCTCCACTTTTTGAACAGTTTAGCACCTGAAATCCTAATTCTGCATTTGACAAGCAAAATATCACGCCCTTCACCTATTGCAGGATGAGGTGCCAAATGCTTATTCTCTCCATTTCTGAAAGCATCTGTACTACAGTCTACTACAATATTTCATAGACACCATAGCTTTCTTCCTAAATGTACTCTCATTTGAAGGGCAGTCTGCTCAGTCAGATCATCTGCCATTTCTGATGGCACCCGATTTGAGCAGCAGGTGAGGCTAGATAATCTTCAGTACCTTCCAGCCTCAATTTTTCTCTGATTCCTTTGAACGTGCTTTAACGCATCAAGCTGCTGAATGTGTGTCTGCATCAAGTAAATAAGGATGTTGTCTTTCTATAAAGAGAGTGATGCAACAAAATAAAACTTGGACATGGCATTATGTGCGTATCAACAATTCTGTCAACAGAGCCTGGGCTAGGCTAGAATCCAGGCTTATCCTCCCAGAGCCTTACTGACTCTATAGTATCAGGCAGGAAAACCAGGAAAGTCCTACTGTAGATAAACAAAGTAAGCTCATATGATCTAAATCCAGGTAAGAAACAGTTCTTGTTTAGGAATGCCATTTTTTCTGATTTTAATCCAACTTTGGTAGTCAGTCACTGTTCATTCTGATTAAAGATGCCAAAGCAAGTTATTACCTGTTGGTGGAGAATACATCCTGTGAAATCCAGTTCGGCACACTTGCAGGAACATGTTGGTACAACTTGTGGGTTATTTTGGAGGTACCTCGCTTTCCTTCCATTTTTTTTTTCATTTGTTGGAATGCAGCAGATAAAAGAGCATTATGTATCTTTTCAATCTGTAACATAAATAATAGTGTAGTATAAGCAAATGGAGACCGATATCCACGAAATCCATGAGTGCTTTTGTTCAGGCTATGTTCTTCAACGTAAGAACCTTTGATTTAGCTTATATGCATTGACCACGTAGCAGATAAGGTATGTGAAGCGTGCAACTGATCCACAGGGAAAGAACCAATGCCACTGTCCCATGCCTCTCATTGAAATCAGTGGAAATACATCCTAGTGTACTAATTTCCGGTACTTGAGCTGCGCTGAACAGATTATCAGCCATACGTGAGAATAAGCCGTGTGGCTGCTTACAGCCTCATCTTGTAAAGAACTGCAAGTGTCCTGTAAGGCATGGAGAACCTTCAGCTCTCGTTGATCAACACTTGACAGCTCTTGGGGGAAAAAAAGATCCTTTAAGTTAGCTTGTGTCTGGAAAGCGTGGCTGCACGCAGTGTGACACCACACGGAACTTCAGGCAAGTTGGCTGCGCTGCAGCTCTCGCTCCCCTACCTGACTCAACCAGTGGGCCAGCCACAGTCCTATGGCAAAAGTCAGCACCGGTGGCGTGCCAGGCCTCTTCCCCAGCAACCTGCTTGTGCCAGACTTCTGACTGCGCAGCTAAAAACAAGCAGGTGCTGCAGCACGATCAAGCTTTTGCTCTGTTAAGTCATTAACTGAGCTATGACCGATCCTCAGTGCAGCACTGTTTTAAATTCCGATGTAGCCTTTGTGTTGAGCCTCAACAAAGTCTTTAGATCCACAGATCAAAAGCACTTGCTTTCATCGGGTTGGCATTTGCTATTATTTCAATGTTAAATACCTTTCTTGTATGAAAGGCAGCTCGGCACGTGTCAGTCTGGTTTCCAGTTACCCGCTGTTACTACTAGGCACGCAAAAACCCTGCTTGCAATCCTCCGTACTTCTCTGTGTTGCACAGCCTCATCCTCCTCCTGCTCCGTGAAGTGCTTATATCCAAGCAAGATCCCAACTTCAACACACTACTAATCAGATCATAACTCTGACAAATTCAGTTGCTAATTTTTGGTGTCAAGCTCACAAGAAGAAAACAGAGACGCTGTGTGCGTTAGTGTCCTGGAATATTGTACTCATTCCAACATACCAATCTCCTATTTCTCTAGAGTCCTATAAAGGAACATTTGAAGCATGAAATAGGAGGCAGAATATACAGTACAGTTAAAAGGACTTCTCAGAATTTAACCACACTTTTCTGGTCATTTGCATTATGTTTAAAATACTTTTTATTACATCTATAATAGACTACATCTATTTTAAAGATGAGGCTGATTTGATCTTAATTTTTAAAAGCAATATATTGAAATAGTTCATCTGAGTTTTTTAAGCATACGTTAAACATGTTAGTTCAAATTTATCAGCTGAGACTTAGTTTTTCCATGAATACCCTCTTTACCTTGAGAACACGAAGCCCAGCTTTTTCAAACTGTTTCTGTCTGTCTTTAAACTCCTGAAGGTGTGAGTCCACCAGTGAAATCTGGACCCTTTTAGTAGTATCCGTCCTGTGAAGGTGTTCTTCTGAAAGCTGACCTGCTTCTGCTTGGTCTGGATACAAATGAGGGAGTAAAAATTTCATATATCATAACATCTGAAGCAAAGGCAAGGAGGAGGGATCCAGTACTTTAGTTTGGTAGTTTAGTTAAGAACAAAGACTGTTAAGTATTCTCTAAAGTAATGCCAGAGGCTAATACTGAGAGGGATTGAGAGAGATACATATTTTTTTTTTTTTTTCTACATTTAGTAAAGAAAACAGAGAGAGAGAGAGAGAAAATCACAGAAAAGCAGTTTATCTTCTCCATTACATCTCTCTGCAGCCCAACTTTCATGTAATGGTATCTATACTGAATGACTATACAAACGTGAGTTAAAATGGCTCACTCGGTAGCTTTCTGTAATGCCACTAGTTCTGCCCACTGCTAGTGAAAGCTGGGGGCTCTGCAGAACAAGTCCATTGGTGGGTCCTGCAAGAGCGGTCCAGCTGCAGCTAGCAAAAGAGCTCAGCAAAGGTATGTGTTAATTAAGGTGCAAATTTTGTAAGTCTCCAGTGGCCAGGCTTATGAAGTGAAGGTGTCCTGGAGGAGGCCAGCGTTACAGCTGGCTGTACAACGGGCAGCCCGTGCATAAACTGTGCCCTACTGGGAATATTGCCAAGTGAGTAACCAAAGCTAACAAATGCTCTTTCAGGGGCTCCTATGATCAAAGTACAGTAATAACGGTAATTAGAGCAATGCTCAGTATGTGTGTGAACTGCATGCACGTCTGTCCACACTCAGAAATACATAGATACATGTTGCTTCATACTGGACCTTATTTAGTCACTTATTTACTTAATTAGTCACTTATTTACTTTACATACCCATTAAGTACAGCAGTTCCTCTTGTTTCGCTGTAGTCTTCTCTTGCATAGCAAGCAGTAATTTTTCAGTTGCCAGCACTGCATCAATCACAGCATCAGGGGGGCCCTGAAATTCCAGTCTTGCTTTTCCACCTCGCACTACTTCTGATACACATACGCTAGAATGCTGCTCTTGAAATAGTTCTGCAAACTCCTTTTTACCGAGGCTAAAAATGAAGTTGTTTTCAATAATAGCACGGTGACTTTCCTGAATTTGTACCATGCTTTGGATCCACGATTCTGCTGCTTCCAATGCTGTACGTGTGTTCCCTTTAAGTTCAATAGCTGGTTCATTACTTGCAGTCTCTTTTACACTTTGACTGCCTGACTCTTCACCTGGAAGAAAGATTTTTTTTTTTTTTTTTTTTTTTTTTTTTAATACAAGTGCATCAGAAGAGTGAAGAGCTTTCAAGTGCTGTCACAAATTCCTATATGTAATCCAAGATGTACAGTGCAAGAAAGACACTACTCTTCTGGTATGCTCAAAAAAAAAAAAAGAGATCAGATACCAGGAGGTAAGGTTTTCAGGAAGAAAAAAAACCCAAACCAAAACCCCACACATGCAGAATTTATGTGCCTCCCACTAAATGACTTCCAACAAGTTAGGCACTGACAATGATTTTTATGTTTGAAAATCTTATAAGGGACTACCCAGTTCCATTCCTATCAATGTAAAAATGCAAAGTGCTCACACATTTTTGCCTTCCCCTTTCCCCAAGACACATATGCAAATACTAAGTTCTTTTTAAAGGAATGTGATTTCAGATTCTCCAACCTGGAGTGCTCATTTACTTGAAATGCCCCTTGTCTTCATTACTTACCCAAATGATCACTTCTGTTGTTACACTGCTTTTCTCTCAGTTTCTGTGTGGCCAAATAAAATTTTCTCTGGAAAACCTTGAAAAAGAAAAGTTTAGGAGCAGTTTGCAATCTCTGTTGTCAAATATGCAATTCATCTCTTCAAAACTCTGTTAGATAAGCAGTTTACAGCTGTAGTTATACCACCCCCCCAAATTCTGAAATTGTTAATAGCTGACATTTGTTTTTCCCAAAATGTTAATCCTGACAATATCAAATGCATTCCTGTTCTTCTATGTCTCCTAAGGTAAGACACCTTACACACTGAATGGCACCAACTCCCTGTGGTTGTGGCATATCTGAATTCATGAAACCACAGTAGATAAAGGTGTTCATTACTTGCAGTTTAGCGCTGATGAATCCTTACTCAGTTTTAAAACCCAGACTATTGCCCTGCCTTTACCCCAAAGCTCCTCTTCATGATCACACATGGAAAGCCTCTGAGCAGCGCTGCTCTGCTAAGCAGTGGATTTGGCATCTGGCAAATTGCCTTTCCTTCTTTTTTCAGCAAAAAGAGATTCTACTGTGCCCTGATTATCAAGGGATTAAGTGATGAGCACATAGCTGTCATATAGCTTCCTTTAGAGCTTATGGGACTGTTACAGAACACGGATCTGATCTTAGAATTATAGAATGGTTTGGGTTGGAAGGGACCTTAAAGTTCATCTAGTTCCAACCTCCCTCCACCTAGTTCTTGCACCTGTTGAGAGAATGGATGGTTGAAGTTAAATGGGAACAAAGGCAAACTCTGTACTTTCCTAATAGATGGCTATCTAAAATAGTTGTGTATTAATCACATCGGCCAAATATTCAAAAGGTGGAAAATGGCACACTACAGTTGAAATCATCCAGTGTCTGTCTGCAACCCTTCTGTCATGTTAGGTCATATAATGTCTTGATAGTGTTTTGCCCTAGGAACTTCATGCAAAAAAAATTAGTTAAAGAAATTTCCTGGGGAGGAATAAGCTATTCCCTAATGAGTTAGGAATAGACTCTTTCTTATAAATTCACTGATAGTCATGGGAATTTCAGAGCTCCCTCCCCTTGCTATCAGACCACAGGGTGAAGACTTCAGCTTTAGTGAAGAGAAAATGAAGTTTTAATAATACCTGTTAATGAGACAAATAGTTTCATAAAGGGACCTGCCACTCACAAATGTTATAAGTAGTATGGAATTCAGGTTATCTTAATTTGTAGTCATCTATAGGAATATTTTTACAGTTTTGGGTTTTCCTTATTGGTAGTCAACAACAAATTTGTTACCTCACAAGCATTGTGGTCATCTGGGTGAAAGACAAACTGCACATCTATCTTCTTCTCAGGGTGTGCCCCAGCAAAATTTAAAACCTCTTCAATCATGGTGTCTGCCACTATATCAACAGGAAGTGTTAACGACCAAATCCCATTTGCTGGAAAAGAAACTGAGGGAGACTGGTAGTCCTGCAGGTAACGCAGGCATCTTGTCACTGCAGCTTTTAATTCCTGCAGGAAAAACAAGTGGTTTAGTCTTCACATCACTCAACAGGAAAATCAATTAAAATCCAATCTAACTGATCATCACCTCACACAGTAACACCTTGTGCTGGTATCGGGGCCAGACAAAGTGCAGTACAAGCTCACAGGGCAGATTATGCCCTTTTGTTACTACGAGTTCATTATAAGATGAAGAATATCCAAGATGAAATTCATCCTGAGGAGCTGAACCCCCTTTTTGCAGCAGTTCTGTTGAAACTGGAGAGTAAGGCTTGCCATTCACAGAGACAGGAATAACAATGGCTGTAGTCTGGAAGAAAAGAGTGCAAAGTTTTAGTATACTTCAGGTTTACTATTTGCAACCTTTGCTACTACAGAGAGCACTCCTTCTAGGAACAATTCCTTTAAAAAAGCCTGACTGCAGCAGATCAGCTGTTTGAAAGGTTCTCTTACTACTACTAAGGGCAGCACTGGAATACATCAAAGTATGCACCTTCTAGTGGCAGTAAATGCATAGGTTGTTTTTTCAGAAGCCAACCGCATGCATAAGACCTGTTCAAGTCATCAGAGTGTATTCAACAGAATTATTACCACAGCTATAGAAGTGACCCATATGCGCCTCATCAAATGCAATTCTGCAGCCAATTATCAATGAGCAGGAGAGAATTATGGCTATGTCTGTTATCCCAGCCCACGCAGATGCTCCCCCTGTTAAGGCAGCAAGCACTCGTCACCAAACTAGCAGGGTCAGTGCGCACAGGGGAGCTGCAAAGCTACGGTCGCTTCCAATTCCCAGTGGAAACAGCAGATTCCCATAGTAGATCTTCTGTATTTCAAATTAAACATGTAAAATGCAAAATTCTTGTTTACAGAATATTACTAATAACAGCAGTAATAGTTCTAACCTTAATTCTTGAAGATTATCTAAAGATACAAGACTTTGGAGCATATTTTCCTCATAGTCTTGAGGGCGTGTGGTAACTTTCAGTGCTGCGGAAATGGTTAATAAAATTCCCCACAATGTCAACTTCGCGATCCTTTGCTCTCACCTCAAAAAAATGAACTCTCTATTCAACTAAGATATTTCTTTAAAATATAAGTTATGAATTCTTTTAAGATACAGTATTTGCTGAAAGCAAATGCCATTCCTGTGATGTAGCTTCCAGTCTAAGAGCTCTGTTGGATTACTATGGCTAAGCTTATATATTTTGCACCTGATTTTCTAGCTAAAAAGTTAAATGAATCAATTTAAATGATGCACTGTTTAAAGGTAAGGTGCACATCATCTCTATAAGTTATTTTCAGCTGTTTCAGTGTTTGCTGAATAAATCCAGGAGTGACACCTATGAGAACATAAATTACAGGAAAAAAAGCAAGGCAAAAAATAAGAGTAGACTTCTAGGGAATGCATGATAAAATGTGAACTCCCATGATTTTATAAAAAGAAGATAAACATTAATACAGGGATATATTATTAATAATCATCCAATCTTTAGCTGCTTCCTATTACCCCATAACAGCATTTATACCAAAAAAGAAATAAAAATGCTCTAATTTTTAATACCCATTTAGAAAAAAACCCAACTCCTTGCCACTAGAATTTATTTGTAAATTCTCATCAGGATGATAAGATAACTACTTAGTGGACCGACACAATATGTGTTGTGAACTCTTGGGCTCCAAATCCTGCAAAGACTTGGAGACAACTCCATGTTCAACATATTACAGGACAGACTTACCTTCTGCTCTTCAATGAGTCCTCTTACGATGCGCAAGCGAACGCCTTCATGTTTAATGAAAGTTGAACTCTGGCTTGGTGAAGCTGAAAGTGTTTCCTGAAGTGAACTGGTATCCCCCAGATACTTTTCACAAGCCTTCTTCATTTCTGCAACTGTAGGCTCACAAACGTTCACCAGGCGGATTTCCCTGAGACAGCCTAGTGGACTTGCCTCAACAAATTCCTTTATAGCCATTACAATCACTTGAGCACACAAACTGAGTGGGAAGCCAAAAATACCTGAACTCACTGCTGGGATAGCCACAGACTTGATAGCATTTTCTGGAGCGCTAGCATACCTCAGAACATTCACAATAGCTTCCTCAAGTAGGCAACAACATTCGTTCTTTTCATAAATGGTCCACTGTGGACCAACTGCATGAATGATTTTCTTACAAGGAAGCTTCCCTCCACCTGTCACTGCTATTTTGCCAGCTGTGAGTTTTCCGTACATTTGAACATGAAGATTGCTTTGCTCTTGTATTTCCGGCCCTCCAGCATTCACAAGGGCTAAAGCAAGGCCTCCTCCATGATCTAGATACTTATTAGCTGCATTCACCAAAGCATCGACCTTGTGTCTTGTGAGATCATCCTTACAAACACAAATGTCAATTCCCTGCTTTAGTTTTTTCCTGTATACCTCAACAGCGCATTTTGTACTTTTGAAGGTCAATGTACAAGCAAACTTTTTGGAAATGAGATTACTTAGACAGTCCCCTCTTCTCTTAAGAGCTTCATAGGCATCTTTATTGATGGGGATCATGAAGCTGTCCTCATCCATTCCCATCCTTGGTCCTAGGATACAGAATAATGTAAAGTTAAATCCAAGATACTGCTGTTGAAACATTACTTTTTATATAGAAGTCTGGTTTATAGCTCTCAATTTTATCCTATTGTCACTACTTACCAACATTTTTTGGCATAGCCTGATCTTCTCTTTCTCCTTTTTGTAGGCTTAGAAAACCCAACTAAGCAAAGAAATCAAGGCCTTGAGTATTGTTCATTATTCTGTTCAAACTAACCTGCCCATCTAGTAGCTCCTTTCCCACCTTTCCTCAAGACCTTCTCCTCTTTCCTTCAAATGCCTTATGAATCACAGCAGTGTGAGTTTCAGGAAAGTGAAAAGTTCAGGCGTGCTCTGTCGACTTAACATATTTGGATTCTGAGAAACAGCCATTATTGTGCTGTCCATTGTTTCCTGTAAGCCTGTGAATACTTCCAGTTTCATCTTTTCAATCAACAACCACCTCCCTTCCGGTAACTGAACACAGGCAGACACAGGAGTGGCAGGCTGCCAATCAGTGTCCTCAGAGAGAGCACACATCCTCCTCTGAAGCAGTCTGTCCTCAAGATTATCTTCTTGTGACCTGGCAGATGTCAGACCCGGTGACAAGTGGGGTCCCTCAGGGGTCCGTACTGGGAC